TTATGTGATCATGAAATAGAGAATATAATCAAAAGAAAAGAAAGAAAGGAAGCAGCTGGATTCTATTCTTCGAAGCGGCATAAGGGTATTTTCGTCACTAACTCATTTCATTGTTGCTTGGCTTCGGCTCCTTCCTTCTCTGTATAATTATTATTAGCTCAAATTAGTAGTTGTTTGGGTTCTAACTATACGACCGTCACACACCAACAAACTGGGGATCCACAGTTGAGACATTCATCACAACCGTTGGATTTACATACTTCCTTTGACACCTCCCCTTTTTTTTTTTTTTGGTCCAAATAAAACAAAATTAATTATAGATATTATTTTCACTAAAACTTTTATGATATAACTATTATTATAATTTATTTTGTGAAAACATATATAATTAATTTATTATAAGACGTATATACATTAATTATAAATAAAAAACATTTTATAGAATTAAAGAATTATTGACTATCTAATTTCATCAAAGGTTTATCTCTAGTGGAAGCAAAGAAATGGATGCTTTCTTTCTTCAACATGGATATGGAGAGAAGTTTTCCAACTAAAAGAAAAGTTGACTTTTCAATCACAAAATATGTTTTGTGTATTTTTCTTATTCTATTATATTATGGGTAAATAGCTAATTAAATTGTACACTTTCTATCAAATTGCAATTTACATTTTTATTAGTAAAAATTAGTCATGTGCATCTTAAATTATCAAAATATATCTAATTACTGCCTCAATTAAGAATATTTTTCAAAATTAAAACAACTTTATTTTTACTAAATAAATAAAGATTTTTTTTAAATTAAAAAAAAACAAAATATTATTGAATCAAAAAGAGAGAGAAAATGGTGCAAGTAAAAGAAGAGAAATTAGAGCATTATGTTTTTATATTTTTATCTTATTTTATTTAATTTGTGAAGAAAATTATTAATTTTAATAAAAATTATTAGTAAAATAAGTAGATATATTGTAATAAGTTTAAGGTGCATATTGATACATTTAAAAAATTTTAAATGAAATTCGGTATAAAATATAATATGAATTATATTTTTATATTTTTTTTCTTATATATAATCGAAAAATATCATTATTATTAAACAAGAAAATTTAACAAAGATTTACAAGCATTTATGATGAAAGATTAAGAGAAAACTAAGAGAGATTCAAAGTAAAGCAAGAAAAATGTTCGAGAAGGAGAGAGAGAAAAGAGAGTTGAAGTTTTGGAAAAATTTTGGATTACATATGTTGTTCATTAATGAGGTAGTAATGGGTATTCATACATAGGGGAAAAAAAAACTAATTATGAAACTATCTAGCAACTTATAACTAAATTATAAGTACCTATCTATTCACAATAAATTATAGTCTTCCTTTAAGTTGAAGTATACAAACATTATATACCATATTGGTTATAATAGTCTTAAATTTGGAGACAAGAATAAACGTAGTAAAATTATTTGTTAACTGATGAGAAAAAGAAATTGGAAGTTATCAAACGAGTCCATCATATTCTTTGTGCCGGATGAGGTAGCAATTAATTTAATATGTTTTGTCTATTCATAGAAGACCAAATTCTCAACAATTTTTATGTCGAAAGGTTAGTACAAAAAATAATATATTTATGATAATCAATATACAAATCGACAAGTAAAAATTGCAAGCATTATAATCAAAAGTGACTGTTGTAAGAACTCTATACTCAACCTCATATGAGGATCTAGTTATGGCTTGTTACTTTTTAGTTTTTCATGATACAAGTGCATCCCCAAAAAAAACACAAAAATTGGCTATAGACTTCAAGGAATTAATATAGGTAGCTTAGTTCGAGTCACAAAAAGGCTTCAAATGTAAAGAATTCTGAGTAAGGTCAAACAAACATTGACCAAGTGTGTCTTCAAATATCTTAAGAACTTATGAGCAGCTTATAGATGTTATTGATGAGCATTTAAAAAATTGGGACAGCTATTGACTAACAAAATAAATGTCAGGTCTCATGGTAGTAAGATATAATAGCTTAACAACGAGTTGTCTATATGCAGTAGAATCAACATTGGGAGAATCATCCTCTTCAGTCAACTTGATAAAAGAAACTATGGGCGTTGTTGGGGTTTACACTCAAAAACCAAGTGTCTTGAAGAAAATCCAAGGTGTATTTGCATTGATAAATATTAATACATTCCTTAGATCTTTTAATTTTAAGAACTAAGAAAAAATTTAATTCTCCAAAGTCTTTTATTTTGAATTCTCCATGCAAATCATCCGTATACTATCACTTGCGATAATCCAATCATCCACATAGATAATAAAAGTAATTAATGAAAAATCAACATGCTTAATAAACAAGAAAGAATCTAGATATGCTTACACTAATCCTTTTTTCTTTAAGGCATCAATCATATTAAAATTTCACTGCCTACCCGCTTGTTTTAGCCCACATAAATTCTTTCTGAGTCTACATACCTAGTTATTTTGAATGACTTTAAAGCTAGGTGGAAGAGTCATATAGACTTCTTTGTATAAATCACCATGTAAGAAAGCATTATTAATGTCTAATTAGTAAAGAAACCAACTTTTAGCTGTAGCAATAACTAAGAGAGTGCAAATAGTGGTTACCTTCGCAACGAAAAAAAATGTATCCAAATAATATATACCAGACATATAAGTGTAACCCTTTGCTACTAACTATGGTTTATATCTTTCAATGAATCCATCAATTCTCTTTTTTATTTTATAAACTTATTTCTATCTAACTGGCTTTTTATTAAAAGCTAAGGAGACCAATTCTCAAGTTTGATTATCTTCCAATGCACTAATTTCAGCAAGCATTGCCTCTTTCCAAGAAGGTAAGGTAATTTTTTGGTTATAGGTTTTTGGTTCTTATCTTAGTTTTAGGTTATAGTAAGTATGAATGACTTATGTTTATTGGTCATATGGTCATAGGATAGGATATGAGATAACAATAGGGATATGATGTCTGGTATTGATTCTAGACTTAAAACCGTACATGATATTCTTGTAGATGAGCTAATTGCTTTACATACATAATTGATTTTTTAGGAATCAAAATAGCTTGAGATTCAATGGGCATAGACTTTGCTGGATCATAAGTGTTAATTAGAGTATCATTATGCTCAAAAGTATTACTATGACTAGTTTCAGAGAGAAAAAAAAAGTATTACCAAAATTAATTTATTCACATAGGTTGTCATGACCTAAATCATCTTGATGTGGCAAGGACCTATATGTGTCATTGTTTAACTCTGCCATAAAATCATCAACTTTTGAGGTAGAACATGATTATATGAACTTTTGTACAAAGTGGAATAAAATGGAAATATGTGTTCAACAAACTTAGTGTCTCTGGAAACAAATATCTTGTGAGACTCAAGATCATAAACTCGATAATCTTTAATATGAGAAATGTAATAAAGAAAGATATATTTAATGGTGCGATGAGAAAATTTTGAACAATTGGACTTTACAATTGACACATGACATTAGCAACCAAACACCTTAAGATGCTAAAAATGTTGGAACAACATGAAATAAGAGCTCAAGTGTTGATGACCGGAGAAAGTATACGATTGATAAAATCTACTGCATGCAATACATAATCTACCCAGAATCTCATGGGTAGATTAACTTGAAAGCATAATGATCTTGTCACATTCATAATATGTTGGTCTTTTCTTTCAACCAAACCATTCTGTTGTGGTGTATAGGGACAAATAGTTGATGTATAACTCATTTGTTATCATAAAATTAAGACATACTAAATTCTTTGCCATTATATGATCTAACACATTAAAATTTTAGCATTAAATTATGTTTTAGCATATGCAAAAAAGTTAATTATAATATTTCTTGCTACTCCTTTAGCCTTCATTAAATGTAATCATGTATATCTATTTTTTTCATCAACAATAGTAAAGAAATAATGATGACCATACAAGGAGGCAATAGAAACTAAACCCTAAATAAAAAGCTGTATTAAATCAAAGGAATGAGAACTTGTGGAATTGTTTATACAAAATGAAGGTTTTCTTTGTTTAGCAAAATGACATATATCATAATCAAAAGATGAATAAAGATTATAGAATTGTCTATTTAATGAAATACTTATAGTCTTTGTGAAGAATAATGAACAAGACAAAAGTGCCACAAGTTGTGATTATTATAATAGATGAACAATTAAGAGAATGTGGTTTATCAATAGAATAGTCAAAAGAATGTAATTTTGCAGTAAAGTTTACAATATATAATTTCTTGATCTTTAGCATTTTAATATGATACAATTCATGTCTTGCTTTAGCTAAATTAATCATCTTCTAGCTCTGAATATCCTAAATGATATAATAATTATTTTGAAT